TTGGCATGGACTCAGTCATCAGCCGAAAAACTTTTCCAAGGCTAAATATTGTCCTTCGGGGCGGCAGCACAACAAAACAAAATCAGCTGTGCCCTCGACAAGGTCAGCGGAGTGTGCGGATGTCTACTTTTATCATTGAAATTGATACTTTTCTTATTTATTCGTAAATGTTAAAGGAAGGTCCACTTGTTAAAACAAATAGATAGAATATGTGGCTGTTGTCTTTTAACAAGTTTTAGGGTTGCCTAGTCAAAGTTTGGACTAATTGAGATTCCATGTTGTGAACTTAACACATTTGAAATCCCTCCAGTGTGACTGAATCTATGCACATCAATAAAAATAATTCACTGCGAGTTTCTATAAATTAATTTGTTGCTGCCAAATGTAAAGGAAATAACTTTTAAATGGGATTAGGTTGATTTGTGTAGATTTGTTTTGCCATAAAAACTGAGATGTTTAAGTGAAAAATTTGATCTTGGTTGAAGTCTGCAGAGGAGTAAATTATCTATCATAAACTCATTTTTATATCATATTATGTTGCATTTATTTGAAGTAACTGAAGTATTTTCCTTCAGGCTTAGTTTTCTCACTGCATTTACAGATATTGACAGAAACAGAAAAATATCTCAAACGTAATAATTTGTACCAAATATTGCATCCAAGCAGTAATTTGTGATTGTAATACTGCAGAAAATAACATTGTGATGACAACTATGACTCAGTTTATTGTTCACGAGATCAAATTAAGGCCTTTTATCCCCCTTAAATGAACATAATGTGTTTGTGTAAAACAAGTTGCAACATTTAATTTTCCTATTGGATTAGTAAATATTTTTTAATTGAGTTTTTAATTTAATTGTAAGATTGTATTTAGTATATTGTTTTCTTTTTTTACTCAGTTTCCATTCGAGTTCTGGATGAGGGACAATGGTTGAGTTTCCAGTGACCACAAAAGTGCATAAATTGGAATGACTAAAATACATTTGTTTAATGGAAACAGACCAATTTTGAAAATACTGCAGTTTTTTGACTAAATGTTTTTGCGCTAGGATGAATCAAAATTAGTGTATTTCACAAAACTGCAACAGAAACACTTCTTCGGATGTTACAGAAGACGAAAAAACGACAGAAAATGGAAGACGGACACTGACATCCATCTTATCTTTTATTAACTTGTGGTTTTATTTACGTTTTCTTATTTAATACAAGCACCACTATTGCGAAATTGTGTTTTTTCAACTTTAGTGCAATATCAATAAAGTTTTGCACACATTTGTAATGGAAACGCAGGTAGTAAGGGGCAACACTTCTCCCTTCAGTGGGAAAAGGGCGTTTTTGGAGGCGATAATCTCTGCACCCTTTGTTCGCCTGTCAATCTGCCCTTGATCAAATATTTATGTTTCCTTGTTGAACTCCTCACCCTTCTTCCCCTGGTTCTTCTCTCCCTGTCTGTGACGATATTCGGCCGCTGCAGACCGGCGTTACTGATGTTTCTGCATTTGTTTGACTCAGTCTGAGCTGGCGACTCTTCCTCTTGCCGCTTTGCTCTGTCAACTCTCTGATTCTCTTTCATGTTTTCTCTGATTGATGACAAAGCTGGGGGAGTTTGAGCTAAAAGTGGGATTTGCTGTCATGGTGATTTGTGGTTAGAAATTTTGGAGCTTTGTCTTTAAATACTTAAGCCGTGCTTCAGTATTTGGATGTAAATGTTTGTTGTGAATGTAGCACAACTCAATACAGTTTTGCTCCTTTGCTATTGCCTTTTTGGAAATATCTACACACATTTAGCTCTAAATCCTGGCTAGAAATGTCTAAATCTCCAAAGTCGTTATTTTGTTGATTTGGATGCTTCAACCAAAAGTGATCCAGAAAAAATGTATTCATCTTTCTTGCAAAGTTATAAGGGATTTTTGTCTAAACTGGCTGATGTTTGCATGATAAATTAATATTAGGTCCATTGTAGATAGACAAATAGAACAAAAGCTTTTTTTTCTAGAAAAAGAACTGGGGAATTTCTGAGTTTGAAAAGTAGAATGTTAGGTTGAAAAAACTCAGAAATTTTCATCTTTTCAAACTACAACATGTCCAAGTTTTTCTAGAAAACTTCTGAGATACTTAGAAAACTGGGCTTCATAAATCTGACTGACCAAAAGTCTAATAAATAAATTAGGACTCATACCAGCTAAATTTTTCTAACATAGTTTCACATCGTTTCTGACTGATGCCCAACTTTTCTGTCACATTTTGACTGATTGCAGGGACTTTAAACTGTCTGTCAGCTTCCTGTGGTTCTGAATAGTCGCCGTCCTGAGCTGTGAGTGTTGACGTAGCTGGATCCAGCCCGGTCCGCCCTGTATCCATGTGAATCGGTGTGCATGAGCGCATCCGGGACTATACATGGAATCACAAACACTTTATGTTAAACAAAGGATTTCCTGCCAACAGAAAGCAGACAGACTCACCTGTAGATTTCACATTCATCAGAAAAGTGAGCCTGACGGATTTTTTTATTTTTTTTTTTAAGAAATATGGAAAGCAGAAAACGTTTTTTCTCTTCCTGTCTCTCTGGCTTCTTTACTGGTAACAAGTTGTGACTACAGGAAGTATAACTGGTTTCCATAAGCCTTAAATATCTAAGGATCTCTGCCACCAACCACTTGAACAACAAAATAAACTGACTTTTAAATGTATTGTAAGAAAAACATGCTAATTTCTAATTAATCTAATTGCACAATATGTTTTAAAAAGTTAGAATTAAGGGATTACACTTATTTCCAAAAGTATTTTCTTGGACATTTCTTGTAATAAATTTCAGATTAATTTTATTTTCATAAAGGGGAAATTATTAATCATGAATATTTAATACATATTTACATAATGTATTATAAATACATTATGTAAATATGCCAGATTTAGCCAGAAAGGCTAATTCTCATCTGTAGTTTCCTAGCAAGTTGATGGGAGGGATTAAAAAAATACAATTAACATCATGACACACATGACCTATGATTTATGACAGATTTTAATCTATAGATATACTGAAATCTAAGAGTAATTTACGGTAAACATTTACAATAAACGTAAAAATAAGTCACATCCATAAGAAAAAACAAACATGTAAAAACGTGAATGAACATGAAGTAGTGACTGTGGAGTGAAAGTAAAACAATGCACAGTTTTCATCATCATTTCCAAATACAAATCTGTAAAGTGCGGAGTGCATTTGTAATCAGCTCTGATGATTCAATGCTTTCCCTAACCACCATTCACTTCAACCACTGCTGCATGTTTTCTGGGATGTTTATACCAGATTTACTCATTTCTGCTGATTCTTTGGTGAATAGTTCAGGCTCAGTTGGATCTGATGAAACTGAGAAAGATGCTTTGTTTGCTTTTGCAATCAAAAAGTTACAACTTTGGTCTCATTGGACCAAATCCTTTTCTTCCACGTGCAGATTAGCTTATTGTTCCATAATTTCTCCTACTCTGACATGTTTCCAATTCTGCTGATGGCAACAAGGACTTGGAGCTCATCACCTAAAACAAATCATATGAATAGCAGCTGAAAAATTATTATTTTGCAACTAATACTCCTTTTCCATTGAGTGATGTCTGTTGAATTTCCTGAGAAAATTAGAGACTTTTTTTTACCTAAAGTTACACACAAACGCAGGATAGTCAAGTCAAAACTGTTTTTATTTACATATCTAACATCAGCGGTTCATTTTCCTTTACTTAGAAACAGATTAACTAGTAGCTTTATCATTTGGTGGCAGGAAAACAAGCTTATTTAATTTCAACAAACCATATGTAATATAATAACACAATTTATTCACATATTTCAGAGCAATCGGGTTGCTTAAACTCAAAGTTCAAAATAAATCATAAATTTCAAAGATAAATTTAGGTCAGATTATTATAGGTGCCTCAAAGTTAAGCAGAAGGTGTATATTTGCATAGATATGTTAGTAAAAGGAAAATATTTTAATGTAAATTCACTATAATAAAGCAGGAAAAATGCCGTTTAAGAAGAATAAATGTATAATTTTAATCACCAGCATGAATAATCTGTACAATATTTACACAAGCTTTGAGGAGAATTCAACCTGATCCTGAATTTGAGGAGTAAATTTTCCTTTTACAATGTTTCTATTTTTTCCCTTTTCTTGTTCATGTGTACCAAAATGGACCTCTAATAATTGTAAAAACAAACAAAAAAGACCTGTATCTATTTCCAGCACTAGAAACCTTTGTGCTATTGACTTCTGGAAGGAAAAGGAAGCTGTAAAGCTAAAGAACGGTTCCTATTATAGTTACTAAAACTATAAAATAAGCCATAAAACAGGCAGCAAATAGATTTGACCTATTTTTAAGCTTGCCATAAACACAAAAATAGAAATAGAGCAGCTAACTCCAGACATGATGATGTGTTTTCGTGCAAACTGCTCATGAATCACGAGGAAACATAAATGTTGCTATTTTAGTTTGTAGCAGACAAAACAGCGGCTCTATGTGTCCTTGTCTCGAGTCTTTGTTGCATTTTTACAACCGCTGAGACAATAAGAGGGAAAACCTGCTTCGGAGTGAGTCAGAGTTCATTTTTAGTTTGTGAGTGACACACAAGAAAAATATTTACACCTGTATCCCTCTGGGTTTTTTACATCATGTTAACAAACTGGACCAGAACCTGGCTGAAGTCCTGTCTTTATAAAAGCAATCACACTTACTGATGATCAATTAATCAGTTACTTTTATGTAAAATTGAGTTTTTCACATTTCTATCATTCTATAATGTTATTCCCCCATCAAAAGGGTTAGCGCCTCCCCAGACTGCTCCTTCAGACTAGCAGCAGCACCAATTAGCACTTGTTGGAACTGTGAGTCTGCTAAGCTCATTATAAAACTATTTCTCATTGCAACACTCCTGAAAACGATTGTAGATGGAGAAATGTTGTTGTTGAAGGCAGAGTCGGAAAGAGCAGAAGCTTCTTAAAGAGACAGAGGCCCAATTTCAATGTGTTGAATTATGAAGTCAAATTTCTTTTAAGATATTTTGATATGTAAACCCTTTTTAAAACGACTGAAGATTGATTGATTTTGCTATAAAACGAAAATAGCACTGCTCCTTTAATTAGCAGTAGCTTGGTGAATAACATTTCTACTTGCTTTGGTTTAACCAGGAAATTGTTGCACTTTTATCTACATTTAAGGTTAGACTAAAATAATTTAAGATCTCATCGTGTTTAGTATGTTCTGTAAAATACTGAAAATGTAGGAAGGAGTATTTTTGTTATGCCAGTGATATTTAGAGGTTTTATCAAATTCCTTAACAATAGTAACATAAACATGTCAGTTGAAAGTTCACAGTCGAAGTTGCGGTGGGTTTTCTGTGCTTTGGAAATCGGTGCTACAGGTAGTAGATGGATTCACGACTCACATCAACCAACCTGAAAAATATAAATAAGAAAAACATTTATTAACATGTTCAATACACATGCAAGAGCAGAAGAAATATAGAGTAGACAGTCAAGTCTTTTAATTTCCAACATTATTGTCTAAACTCCAGTTTTACTCCAAACGATGAACGGCAACTCTGTTGCTGCTGAAAAATGGGATTAATTGCAATATTGATGCAGTAAAATAAATTTAATTATGAGCACAAACTCCTGCTTGTTAGAGGATTAATGAAGCAAAATGACGAGTCAATTTTATCTCTCCCTCTCAAGCAAAATGAAAACATGGAATAGATTGAATGAAGGCTTGATTTGAAGGTTAATCAGGAAGGTTTCAGGGCGGGAGCTCACCTCTTCAGGTCTGCGTCACGTCAGACATGTTGGTAGCAGCCTACTTGCCCTGCTGAGGCACAGTCTGCAGGACAGCAGCGTTTGGTGGGCCAGCCTGTGAAAAGATTAAATGATTTAATTATTGTTTAACCACAGATCAAGCATTTACTGCCTCACAGCAAAGTTTTACTCAGAAATGCTTTTGCCTTACCAAAATTCTTAAATCTGGACGCTCCACATATAATATGTGAATCAATTGTTTATGTTTATATAGAGATTGTTCCTCTGTGTCTTACCTTGCTGGGCAGCATTTGACGCAGCGCCTGAATCTCTGTGTCTTTCTGGGCCAGTTGTTGCTCCTGCTGGAGTTTCTCTTTCAGTAATGTCGTTAACTAAAACAAAAGATGCACCAATTTAAAACAAAAAATGCACTTTTAATTCATTCATTAAAGCTGCAGTATGTAACTTTTATAAAACATGTTTCTTATCTATTTGTTAAAGTTATTACATTGTGACAGGATAGTGTCAATCACCCTTGTGTACGCGCCGCTCACAGCCTCTCCCCCTTGCTCTCTGCTCAGCTTCTCCCCATCAGCTCAGACCAGTTAGCATGACCACAACGACAGCAGATAAACATTTTTCTGTGACATTTGTTTCTCCACCTTTAGTACATTTAGCAGCGCGCACACAAGAATGATTGACAGAGCTAAGTCCCTCATCCCGGCTTTGATTGGTTGCTTTTGACCAAGAGCAGTGCATTTTTTCAGAGGACAATAGTAGAAGATTATCTGGGAAAAATGTCTCCTACTAGTTTTAACAATCATGTAAAAATCATATTTTTGTAAAAGTTACTGCAGCTTTAATTTTTGTCACTGAAGAAAACGTCTTTTCTCAGAGCTTTGCTCCAGAACCCACCTGTTGATCATGAAACTTTTGCTTCTCGCCTAAATCCATGGCAGCTTTAGCAACCGCCGCCTTGTGTTTGTCTTCACACTGCTGCAGTTTGGAGGTCAGATCCGAGTTTTGCACCTCCAGCTGACTGGAGCGCCATTGAATCTCAGTCATCTGCAGGATAAAGTCATAATTTCTCTTTAAAAGACAAAAAGTTTAATGAATATTTCATTTCCTTCCTTAGTTTATCTAGGTTGGGGGCACACAGGTCAGTTTAACTGAACTCTGAAAGGAAAAGCTAAAGTTTTTCAGGTGAAGAAACTAAAATAAATCATGTAAAGGTGAAGCTTTCTGCTTGTCCTTTGGAGCTTTTTAAAGATTAACAGCGACGTGTTGTTGCTTAAGATAAGTTTAGTCTTTTGTCCTGCTGCATCAGCAGGGCGGACAGCTTCACCTCGGCGTTGACCTCAGGTTTGCCTCACAGGACATCTGTCTCTTTAGCTGGATTTATCAGGAATGATGCCGTGAGTAAACTTCCTCCCTGGAGAAACAGGTTTCCTGCTCAGCTTGTTTTTTCCAGGGAATTTTAGGAAGAAAGGTGTTGAGGGAAAGTTTCAGGGTTGATTTGACCGAGGTTATTACCTGTGAGGTTTAATGCTGTGCAGATAATATGATTCCCTATGGTATTAACTTATTTGGTGAAATAGTTTATTATAATTACCTCTTCTTTTTGGTGTTATGATGTGATTTTCTGTCTGCATTTAGATTTTTAATTGGACTAAAGTTGCAAATGCTACATGAAACCGTGAGGCAAACAAACTTGATGCAAAACTCATTCTGCTTTACTAAACTACAAAAAAAACTTCACTTTCACCAAAACCAGGAGAACTTGTCACATTGCTGCAGCATTGGATGTTTTTAAGGCTGAAATGATGTTTTTTTTTTTTCAATCTCTTTATGCTTTTGGGGTAAAGCAGTCTGCATTCACACACCGTCTCTCCCACATGGTCCAGATACGGCTGGAACTTGTTCTCCACTTCCCTGGACAGGTTGGTGCAGTTGCTTTTTATCGTCTCCAGCTGTTCTCTCTGGCTCTTGCAGGTGAGGTGGAACGTCAGCGAGTGAGGGAACAGGTTGTCGATCTTATTCAAAAACTTGGTGGTCACAGTCTGGACCCCACTCAGAGCCTGAACAAAGTCGTCTTTGCACTTCCTGATTTGAAAGAAAAGCCGCCATTAGATTGTTCTTTACATTTTAAATCAAATGCACCATCTGGACAGACAGACAGGAGGACGGCACCTTTTGTAAGTGGTGAGCTTCTCCTCCAGGAGATCCTTATCTCTGCGCAGATTCCTGGCCTCCGTGAGATGGATGTCTCGATCTCTGAAGCCTTTGTCTCGATCTCTGATGGCGTTGTCTCGATCTCTGAAGGCATTGTCCCTCTCAGACAACAGATTCTGAGCCATCTGATTGGCATTTGACTTAACAAGTGCTGTCTCATTTTGGACGCGTTCATGACACTTTGCAATATCTGCAGGATTCAGATGGAAGGTTTGTGACACAAGAAAATCAAATCTAACAACTAGAATTCTGTTTTGCACAATTTCTACATGCTTTAGTCAGTCTAGTAGACATAAGTTATATCTGCAGGACAATCACTTGCAATGAATCCAGATTACATTCCTATTCAGTCCTGGAAAACTTCAAAAGTTAAACACATACAAGCATCTTGGGACTGCTTCTGAACTCTGAACGTTTCAGTCACAGCTAAAGTTGTTGTTAGTTACTCTGAGATGTTTATGCAGTGTTGGACTTACGGATATATGTAGGTGGTGGAAGACAGGGAGGACAGCGCATAGGAAACTGAGGGCTGATTCTCTGCTTTTCAAGGTTTGCCCATTTAAAAAAAAAAGACATAAAAGAAGGCGAATTAAATAATGAATAGGTTTTCATTTCTATTATTACAAAGATGACCAACAGAGAAGCAACAGAAATGTACAGAAGAGCGTTTCGGCCACTGAAATTAGATACAGAAAATAATTCTGACTGATTTTTAACTTTTTTCTAAGATTTCTAACTTTCGTCTTCTGAGATCAAGTCAGAAATCTGAGGGAAAAAAGCCAGAATTCACTTTTTGAGTGACTCTAATCCTTTTCCACAGAAGTACCATTAAAAAACAGAAATGAAAGTGAGGATGGGAATGATGAGATGATCTTGACAAAATGCATCAGAGCAGTTCTGCAACTTGACAGAGAAAAATGCAGCTTCCTCTTGTTTATTCTCTGTACTTACAGTGTTGAATCTGAATTTTGTGAAGTTCGCTATCTCTTTCTGCAGAGCCGCTTTCTCAGCCAAACTAGCGGCAAGCTTTGCTCCAAGCTCGACTTTCTGCTTTGTCAGGTTCATGTTGTCTGCGCTCAGCTTGTTAAATTCCAGCTCCAGCTTCTGCACAATACATGATGAAGAATCAGCGATAGTTCAATGCAGAGTTGTTTATTCACATTTACTTGAGAAACTTTATGTAAAAATTAACTTTTAGGAGTATTTTCATTAAGCTGTAGGGTGTTTTAATGTTTTCTGAACAGATCATTCATTAAGTAAAGATTAAATTAAAAAAATTATAAAATATGTACTTTTTACTTTTACTTGAGTAGACTTTTATGAAGTATTGTCAAATTTCTGGATACTCTTCTCCACTGTAAATAACTTCACTGAATGAAGAACCAAAAAAATTCACCAGACAGACACAAACCAGCAGTTTTTGTTAAAGTTTTATGTTGAAATAAATTGTAATCGACAATATTTTTTCCTTATTTTGTAATTATATGAATAATTACATATAAATACCAAAGTTTCCCAAAAAAAGTTATATTTTGTCTGATAAATTGATGTTTCACTTATTACTTGAGTAGCCTTTTCACCAAATACTTTTTCATTCTTAGCTGAGTGATTTCTTTTTACTTTTACTTGAGTGAAATTAGTTGAAGTAGTGCTACTCATACTTGAGTACAATTTTGGGTACTTTGCCGTCGCCTTGTTCAATGTTTGTGTTTTCTTTAACTGAAAAAATGTGGCATAGTCCTTTAAAATCATGCATTTGTAGGATTTTTTTTTCATCAGTCAATCTGATAAAAGTTACTTTAAGAGCTTACAGTCGTTAAGGAAATCACTAACCTTGACCCGCTCCTCCTCTGCAGACTTTTCTGGCTGTCCGTAGATGAAGAGGAGCACCAGGCTGACGATGATGAGCGACTGGATGAGGGATGAAAAGAAGAAAACGATCCTCATGTAGTAGCCGCAGCTCTTCCCTTTGTTTCTGTACAGCGGCTGCCGGGCCTCTGGGCCGAGCTTGACCCGGGAGCAGCTGGAGCTGTACATGGCAGCCGGTGGTGAAATGGTTGCAGCTGGTTTTTGTGATAATATTTTCAATGACAAAGAAGATATTTTTAAAAATTCTTCAGACTTGATCTTCTCTGCAAAGAAAAAGCAGATGTTTACCAAGTAGAAGTTGAGTTTTATTTTTTTTTAATCCTTGGTTTTGCTGTTTGTCGTTAAAGATGCTGAAATGATCAGGCAGAGATGTGGTGAACAGGGAGCCTAATGAGTGTGAAGGGATCAGGTTTATAAAGGGTTGGTCCTGGATGCCCCCTCCTCTTCCTGAATGACCAGCAAAAACTTTCCATGCAATAGAAGACACTATATTGTTACAGAAACTTGAATAATAATGACAAAAATCTCCACAAGTTTTAAGACAGGATGGTTTACTGTATATTTACAGTCGACCCTCCTCTGGTTCAGTGCTCATATTTTTTCTGACACCATATTTATTAAAAATGTGACTTTTAAAATCATGCATTTTCAGGATTTTTTTTTCAACTTTTATCAGCAGATAATTGGACAAAAGCTTTTTTATCAGCATGCAGTCATGAACTGTTGGACTGCAGTTTGGTTTTATTGTGAACAGAGTGCCTTCACCTCTGACCTTTCACCCCATTTAGCTGTCCTCTGAGAGGTCAATATTCTAAATATTGAATTTTCTGTCTGAAGTATCATCTATTGATATTGCATTTCTATCATAATATTGTATATTGTTATTGATTTATCGTCCAGTCCTATGGTAGACAGATTTCATAAGACAGTATTTTTTTTCTGTGGGGAAGTGATCAAAGGTCTAATCAACCAGGCAGATTGGTTTCCAATAGTTTTTTTTTCTTTAACATAAATACGAAATGTAGGTATTTTTGTAAAATTTTTGCTTATTTAATGCTCAGAGGGTGTTCTTTCAGCAAATGGCCTATTTTGAGTCTGCATACTCCAATTAACAATTAATCAATTACTAGAACAGATGGCGAATTGTTTAAATAATCGATTCATCATTATTAATGATTTCAGCTCGAAAGCATGCTGTGTATGTAAATTATGTACAGTAGATTATCTAACTGGAATGAAATTAGTATTTGGAGAACAGAGTAGAGCATGTTTTTGGCAAATAATGTGGATATATTTAGTGAACTTCCACTTGTGGGAGTCAAGAAAGCAGGAAGCATTACCTATCCGTGCCACTTTTAAATATAGCAGGAGCAGAAATCCTCATCCTATTCCCTGGTGAAGGACGAACAATGTGCAACATGTTAAGAAGTAATGCAGAAAAAGCCAAACAAATACAGCAAAAATTTCCACCACATCCTGTCCTGAGCCTGCGCGGAAAGGAGTCATGGCAGAGGAGGACCGAGAGAACTGAAACAATAGGTAGCTGTCACTCTTCAGAGCTGAGGGAATAACAAAGTCTCCCTCTGGGCGCTCTCCATTCTAGCTAAGCTGTTATCAGAGCCGATGACGTGAGGCACACAACGTGAGGCTGGGAAGAGTGTGAAGGGCCAAAGGTTCTCCGAGCGCCAGGTTATGTTTTCCTGCTCGCCCACGTATGTCTGACAGCCTTCCTTCAAATGGAAAAAGACTCATTTATGAAGATAGAGCGGCAGCGCAGGCTGATGACCTCTGAACAAAGGCAGGAAGTCAAATGGTTGGAGACTGACACCTTTTGAGACAACTGGCCAACTGGACAGGAAGATATATCTCAAGCACTGAAGAATTGTTCAGGCAATAGATGTTTAAGTGACACATTTTCACTATCTGATGCCGAGGTGTTCAAAATTTAGTCAAAAGTGCTTGTGGCTCAAGAAAATAATAGAAACATAAAATAAAATCAAGTGTATTTGTTAAAACTATCATTATGCTGTGACAGTATGAGACAAATAATTAGCAAATTATCTGTCCATGAAAATCCCTGAAAAAGTAATTTCTGTATTTATTTTATAGCTTGAAACTTTAAAACTGGTTATCTAAATATAATTATTAAAAATTGCTTTGCATTTTCTAGATAATTCAGATTTTTATAACAAGATTAAATAAAATATGGAAATTCAAACAACTTTTCCAGATTTTTTTAACACAACATAGGAATCCAGCAAGATGTGTGTTCAGGATGCCATTTGTTGGATTTAGAAAATATGGACTAAGTTCTGTTCAGACAGCAGAACACACTGGGGCTTTCTGTCTGAGCTGGATGTATTTCAAGGTGGAATCTGCTGCCATCTACTGACCAAACCAGCTAAACAATTTAAAATATCATCAATAGGATTAAATATGCCTTTTCAATATAACCAAAAAAGCTTATACGTGCAGGGGGTTTTTGTGAGTAAAGCTACATTTCAGGTAAAACCATCAATGTGTTTGTGTAGCTTCCTACACGGTCATATTGTGTGACGTACAACAGCGATGAAGTGAACAAAACCGGCCATATTCTAAACTGCAAATCAGGGATGTCAAACTTATTTTCATTTTGAAAATAAATGTTTTCAAAGTGCCTTTGATCAAATCTATTAGCAAACTGTTAAAACATTAATAGCCGTCTCCTCATTTGATAAGTACTTCTTAAAATTTAAGTTTTGAACATGTTTTCACATCCAGGATTTTGTGATTGTTTTAGATATTTTTTAAAATCAAATTCACAGATTTGTGAGGCTAATTTAGGAATATTTGATAGAAATTTCGCGAGATTTGTGCTTATGGTAATTGTGGCATTTTTATTCGGTATATCGATCACGGACTACAACTTAAGAAAAACTGAGGCAGCAGTGTAGTAGGAGTAAGAAATACTGCCACCTGCAGGCGGGAGTTACTCACTTAAACCCAATGTTTTTTAAAGTCTTTCAGATAATTTGCAATAAATTCACAATTATACAGATAAAAACAACTTTAATCTGGTGAAGGTTCTATTTATGAGTCCTGCTGGAGTGTAGAGGGCCAGATAAAAAGCTCTGGCAGTATTTAGCCTCCAGAAAACATTCCAGCATGGAAACAAAGGAGCAGCTAAGGGAGAAAAACATTTAGGTAAAGCTAATAATCTCTGGCGCTGAATCAGAAAGTCTTGACGAGGAAAAAAAGATAACCCAAACCTCCTGACAAATTAAAACATTTTCTAATAATTTATAAGTCAGGTGATCAAATCCTGACATATAAATTAATCTGCAACTTTTATTTAATGTGTTTTATGGATCTTTTGTTGGCATTCTATCTCAAAATTAAAATGGACAGTCAGAATGTTGTTTTGCTCGTAAATAATCAAACTTTCAAATTCATTACATTCAGAAGCAAAAAGGCAAATATGAAAGTGATCTTTGCAAAACCTAAAGCTTCAACTACTGCAACTTCCACTCTTTATTAGGTTATTTTTTATTTATGTGAACTCTCATCATCTACTCCCTCATCACCAGGACAGTTCAAGTGATTTTCACCACGTAACAGAACAATTTGGTTACAATCAGTGACTTCTAGAAACCCTCATTTCCCAGATATTCTCACGTTTGTTCAAAAGCAAAGGAAAATATAACAGTGACATTGTGCCTTCAGATAAAAAATAAAAAGTTCCGCTGAATCTGCAGCATGTGTGGATTTCACAGATAAGCGTTGCCGTTTTATTTTGTCCGTTTTACACTGTAGCCTCCGTGTCCGGGGTGTCGTCCCCCTCCAGCAGGCTGTAGGATGCGTGGCTCTGGAACGGCCTCTGCAGAGGGTGAGCCAGCAGTTTGGCCATGCAGTTGTGCAGCTCGATGGCGGGTCCGCTCAGGGAAACCTCAAAGCGATAACACATGCCTTTGGAGTCCAGGGTACAGAACGAAGTGTAGGTCTCCTGGGAAACCAAAGAAACACTTTAAGAGATGGTCAAAGAACTACTGATCGACTCGACATTAAGAGATCTCACAAATGTAAAGGAATAAAAGAAGTAGAGTAGACCTGATATTTTATTTGTCTCAGTTAAAGTTTGAATAAACAACCTTAAGTCTGAGTCCCTTTGCCAACAATCCAAAAATATTAAATCTTAGCAAGTATTTTTGGTTTAATTTCTAGACCAAACAGTTGTCGCATCTGGATGACAATGAAGGAACAATTTTTGTATGCAAGGTTTTTTTTTAAATTCTGACCTCATTGATTTCACAGTAAACTTTTAGACACATTTAGAAAATAAGAAAATGTAATATTGTCTTTAAAAAGCTAAAGGAAACACTCACCCTCCAGCTGGTCTCATCTCCTTGTTCCTCCATCCCGTTGTGCAAATAGACAACATCAAAGAAGAAATATGGAGATTGCAGCATTTTCTGAAGCAGGAATAAAAAACTTGATCACCACAAGATAAAGCAGATAGATGCTTTGACTACACCACAGAGAGCAGTGACTCACACTGAGAGCTTCTGAAGGGTTGAACTGCATGGGCCCAGCGTGGCGGCTGTAGATGAGGACAGTCCGCACCACGTAGGGAGGCGGGATGGTCTGAACGTTCTCCATCGACGGCAGCTCAATCTTCTGACGGCTGCGACAGGCACAAGATTTTAAAACATAAACTTATTTAAGTTTTTATTTTTGCAATTAAAGCAAATCTGAGGAATTTTGAAAAACATGAACATAGCTTACATGACGTTAAGGAGATCTTCCAGGTCTAAATGTAGAGGTTAAGGGTAATCTGACTTTACTATTAAAACTATTTTGGTGAATGTTTGATGGAAGGATACTGAAGGACTCGCACACATTGGTCTCCAGGTCATACAGGCAGCTGCACAGCTCTCTGGGATCAGACGTGAAGCCAGACAGCTGGGGCAAAAAACAAAACAAAAAAAAAAAAAACAATAATGAAGGGAAATGTTCATAAAAGAAAATAAAAACAAAAATATATGAGCTGAAATTGTTTTTGTGTTGCAGTGTTTCGAAGAGGAAAGAAAAATAAACTGACAAAAATGAATATTTCCAGACCCGGAGATTGTCTATATGTCCTTCCTTCCTTCCCTTCTTCTTTACCGACTCATTCTTTCCTTACTTCCATCTCTTCTCCTCTTTCTTCTTTCTTCCCTTTTCTTCCTTCCTTTCTCCTATCCACACTTCCTTTCTTACTTCTATCACTGCTTCCACTCCATACTCTTTCCTTCTAACTCTGATTCCATCCTTCCTTCTGTATCTCCTTCTATTCTTTTTTCCTTCTATCTCGCTTTCTATCCTTCCTCTTTTAGATCTCATTCCATCCTTTCTTCTTTATATATCTCCTTTCTTTCTTCCATCTCTCCTCCATTCTTCCTTCTTTATATTTTCACTTCCATCCTTCTCTCCCTCCTTCCATCCTTCCTTCTGTCCTTATTTCCTAATTTGTGTTTAGAACAGAACTATACAAGTAGTAAAAATGATTGGATTCCTGAATTTAAATACTAGATCATATTTATAAGTTCAGGTTTTGGTTTTGCTGTGTAACCAAAGATAAAAATTAAAACGTTAAACCAAGATGAGTCAAACATCCAGCAGGGGTTCCTGAACGTCTCGTGTACCGACCCATAGAGCATCATCGTTGATGACAACCAGAGCAAACTCGTGTCGTTTGTCGATCTTGTGTTTTGTTCTCACAAACATCTCGATCATTTTCTGGGATATGTTCAAGGCGTTTGTTTTAGATCTAAACAGAGAGACAATGAAATGATGCAACGTTACGCTCTAAAGCCATGAAACAGTGAAACAGTCCACCGAGTTTTTACACACCCGTTGAAAGACTCCAGCTTTGGTAAGGACATTTCTTCAGAAAGATCTAGACAGATTATCTGTACAGAGGGAAACAAGGCAGGAAAGACAGAAAACATTAAAATGAAGTCATGTATAAATCTACATCACAGTACAAAGTACACCCTCTTTCAACTCTACTGCTTCTCTCTGGATATAATAAAAATGAGCCACTTTCATTATCTTGTAATTTACTTTAAATAAAACATCAAAGACTCAGATGGAAGTTTTATCTGTATATTTTATGCTACTACTGTGATAACGATAAAAATTATGATTAAAAAATGATTTATTATGAGTTCTTTTTGTTAACTGTATGGCACAGTAATCATAATGCCACAAAAACAAATACTGCTCTTCCCATTTTAGGGGGCCACTTACTTAAAGAAATATGATTTATATCACTAACCTGCACATATTAACTGCATTTGATCAATTTTCAAATTTACTGATATTTATTCATGTTCTTGTGGAACAAACAATGGAGAAAATAGTAAAAAAAATAACATGTCAAAATGAAAAATTTTACAATAAAAGAGCAATACAATAAATGCACACCCATAGAAGTAAGACCTCAAATTTACCCAAAGAAAAATAATGCGGTATCCAGAAAAGTTCATGCTCAACTCAACAAATAGTGCCAAAAACTAAACCTTTCTACTTTTGTGGATAGATTTAAATAACTTAGGAAATTATTTAATAAACCCAGGTAAACACTACAGTTTTTTTTTTGATAGACACAGAACCTTGAGGATTTACTTTCTTGATCACTTTAACTTCCTGAATAAGAAAGTATTTCCGTGTGCGGTGGACCTACCACTTTCTCTGGACAGTTGACTCTGGGAACTCTCAGCTGGTATTCTGCTGGTGGAGGAATGGACGTACTGAGGACGGGCTGCTGGTGAGGGGCCTTTGGCCGTTCTTTGACCGTCACAGCTGCAGTGGAGAGCTGGGCCGTGGTGCTGGCTGCTGTTCCAGAACCAGCTGCCACGGAAACGGCCACAGGGGGAACCATGGCCTGAGATGTAGACGCTGAAACCGTTGTGGTAACAGAGCTTGGAGGGCTGTTGGTGGTCGAGGCTTCGCCTTCGCCCTCCACGCGGTTCCCCACTGCCGGCTGAGGTATGGTCGGGTTCCCGTTGCCTCCGAGGCTGCCGGTGCTGCTGCGACGGTCCTCGGCACCTTCGGGGTTGGAGCGCGTCCGGGGTCGCAGCTCCACTGGACGTTCTTCTCCATCAGCTGGGCCTGGCTCTGGAGTCTCCATGGAAACACTGCATGCAAAGAAAGTGGAGGTGATGAGTTCAGACGGCTGTAGATGGAGTATTTAAAACTGAAGAACCATCTAATGAACTGTTACATTAATACAAGGATTTAAGAAAGAATTAAAATAAAATCACTGCAGAGCATGTTTATTTCACCAATTAAATTCCACAAGTGAAACTCATATTACACAGATTCAGTAAACAAGGCTTAATTTATTTGAAGCATTTAGTTGTTTTAGTTTTGATGGTTATCACAATACAGTTAATTTAAATCCACAATTGAAAACTCAATTAATGTGACATATTTCTATTCAAAATTATTTTTCAAAATTGGGATAATGAAATATCCAAATCATCATAGACTGGTCTGATGTTTTAGTTGCTGCAACCGGAGGTGGGTAGTATTACATGACATTATATTTATTTGAGTAACTTTAAAAACAATGCTTCTATACTTTTTCATTTCTATTTGAGTAATATTATTTTGAAGTAATGCTATTCTGACTTGAGTACAGTTTTTGGCTACTCTATCCACTTCTACGCCATAATCCTGATAAGCTAATGTTCAGATGTACCACTCTGGGTGAAATCAATCTGTATGATACACGAGTTCCAATTTCTGAGAAGAAATACACAAATAAATAAACTTTACAGTGATATTTGAAGTTATTTAGACATACAAAATATTTAAAATTGGATGAATCCCAGACTTATATCTCATATTTTCCTTTTTAATCAAACATCTCTACCTTTCAGATGCACTATATTTATCTTAAAGCTTATATTATGGCTTATTTTACTAAATCACAGCACTATTTCTGCAGTTGCAGAAATAGATTGAACAACCAAATCTGCAATTATTTTTTTCTCTAAGTGAACATGTAACCAGTTTTATCTTTAAATCTCCACAGCGATCTTAGGAGTTGAACAAACACTGAAAAGGTACGTTGTACAAAATGAATCTTGGTAACATGAAAACAAGTTTAGCTGTTAGCATTAGTTAGCTTCTACAAAATAAACAAACAGCTCAGTATATAAGCGCCACATATAAAATGGAAAAATACTACTTACGTTATTCAGAAATAAGAAGCGTCTTTGTTTTATGTGCAACAAACTGTCATATATAGTGCTAAAGAAAATAACAAGATGAGCTAACGTTTGTTTTGAACGGGTAACTTCCTGTTCGGAAACAACACAGCCGGAACTTCCGGTTCTCATAGCATTGTGGGTAATGAAGTTTTTGGGTTGATTTAAAGTTTTTCCGTTTTGTACACAGCCAGGAGCACAATAAAATAATCTTCAAAAACATCATTGACAACGACCATAATAATTTATTAGAAAAATAGAGTAAAAGCTTAGTGATGCAGATAAAACAATTATTAGGGTCTCTTTATTTCTCTGTCTGTGTAATATGAAATAACTCTACAAAACAATAAACTTCTATTTTGAATAAGAATTTATTACCTTCTGCAATGTTGTATAAATGTGTGTTTTTTTCCTACTACTTTTACTTTTTCTCTATTTTTATAACAATATTTGCCTTTTTTTTTTGTAAACTTATTGTATTGTTCAAGTTCAATGCTCCTAACAGTAAAGTTTCTCTTTTGTTAACTAAACTTCTTTTGCCTCACATTTAACTCATTTGTTTATACTTAAACTAGGCTTATTATTACCCATTGAAAAGTTGTATAAAAAGCCATAAAGTCATATTTTACTGCAGTAGAAGAATCTCAGACAAAATAATTCTAGCCTTTACCTGGACTACCCTCATTTATATTATGTTACTTTAAGAGTTCATGATGACATTCTCTCTTATAAGGTTCCCACAACTTGTGGAAGAAAAATATGCTCACACAATCACAGATTCCACACCATATGTAAAAGTGGGATTGAGGTATTTTTCCAAATATTAATCTTCTGCCTTTTTCAGAATTCACTCACATTTTTGCAGTGGAAAAGCTCAAAGTCTCATATTTACAACTAAAGGTAACATAGTTTCGTGATTGTGATATAAAATGGCAATATGTGGCTGGTGAATGCTTAATATTGCCCATTTCCAAAGACCCAGACAGGAGCTGAGTCTGCATGGAAACTAACTGCGACCAAAACAGGAAAGGACACAAAGTGAACGGGAATGGGTGTGGATGTCTCTCTGAGTGTTTCCCACTGACTTCATTCATCACAGTTAACAGAGTTAGACAGACATGCAGCAGGACAGCAATCTGCTGCTTTCACTCAGGGACTGACCTCTGGCCTCTTACTGCACAAAACAGCAGGACCAACAAGAAAATCTCCACGTTTTTGTTTTTTCAAATGTTAAGGATTGTTATACTCTGGAGATATCAAAAACAAGAAAGATGGAGGTAAGTGAGTCATGCTGAAATGTTTGTTTGGTTTTAGATTAAATCCATTACACTGTCCGTACAGTAAAGTAGCCAAGTTCCACTTTAATAAATGTTTGGTAAAAGTGTTTCCAGCTGTTTTAAGAAGTAAAATCTTGGCAGGACTTTTGAGAGATAATTGTTGTGGAACTGAGGAGTCGGTAAATACTTTCCTCTGCTACTTTCCACACTCATGTCAGTGTGAGCTAAAAAACCATGTCACCATTTGTCTTGCAAAAGAAATACATGCATGAGATGCAGTGATAGCCTCTGACACCGTTGAGGAGTTCTTGAAAGTCAGGGATCAGGAATGTGAAACATGCTGTCCTCTCTGGTCAGCAGAAAAACATGTTGGAATTCAAGCAATTAAAATAAGCATGTGTGAAATCTAGATATTCTCCAAGTAGATTTTTATTTTCAGTTTACAATGATTTGTTTTGTGCTGTGTGCGTTTATCTGAAAATCTTAGTTAAAACAATAGATGATGTGATCTGCAAATGTTTGTTGGGCAGGAAGTTGGATCTCAGGATGTTTTTGGTTTCCTCCTTTTCCGCCTTGAACAATGGCTTAACAGTTTGATGCCAGCTTAGACTTTTAATCCAAAGCAAATAACATGAGCAAACCATTTAGATTGAGTCTTAAAACATCATAATTTAGCAAGAAAATGTTGAAATATTTAAGGTTATTTCTTGACTGGGTCTCTATAGGATTCCAAAAGAAGCAGATGTAACAGCCTTGATACCAGCTCCCTGTTTAACAAGGATGTGCTGAGCCATGGTGACTTTGTGACCTTTGACCCTAAAGCCTCTGAGCCTCTGATTGGCCATGAGCCCACACCAGCAGAGGTGGCTCAGTGCGAAGCAGAAGTAAGCACCCTGCTCAGCATCATCGCTGATTTAAACAAGAAGATGGGATCGCTAAAGGCTCCGAGGTAAGTAAAGTTGCCAAATAAATGATTCTTTCAGATAACTCATGATTCAGCGTATGACTCGTCTGAAGGGTTGACTCTTCCAGTGATCCAGGAGACACGAGACCGCCACGTCCGTCCAGACCTCTGGTTCCCCCGGACCTTCTGTCTCACCGGCTGCTCAGAAGCAGCCCAGAGAGCAGCTCTGCTTCTGCCGCCGCATCCAAACATCCAGCAACCAGCCAAGGTGGGCATGAGGAAGTGCTGTTCATACTGAATTAGGAACAAATATGTCAAGCTGTCCAGCTTTGTGAAGTAAAATGCATTGAAATCTAAATGCGGAACAACAAAACAGATTTGAATTTCAGGAACCGAAAGCAATGCAAATGCAAGCAAAGCAAAGCTGTTGAGTCAGTTTAAAGTTAGTTTCCAAAATGAAATTTACATTTTACACAACAGACATTTTTGCCTATTTATGGCCCTATGCTGTATAGACACAACAATCACACATCGATCAAGTCATACCCAAAGGGAATGTAAAGAGACCAGCTAACAGACATGATGTTGGACTGTGGGAGGAAGAAGCCAGAAAAGGTCAGTCAGAATTTGAACTCAAGACCTTCTTGCTGCAAAAACACAACATTTTACCAAGTAGTCTGATTTAATTTGTAGTTCAAGTATCTTATTACATTTGAAATAAGACAAAATTAACATGCAAGTTCATTTCAGCAATATACAGGAGTTTGTTTTAAATCCTTCGCATTGACTTCAAAAGTACTAGCTCCACTAGCATATTAGTTCTCTTATAGTGTGGGAAAAACGTCTTGTTATAAGTGAAATAATCTGCTAATGGAACTAGTATTTTTTAATCAGTATGAAGGAATTAAAAACATGACAATAAAAACTAAACATTACATATGGATACCACGCTGGTTTTTTCATAGACTTTTGTTTGTTTGTTTTTTTTTAATATATTGAAGTTGGTTATAGATTTTAAATTAACAGGGAGTGAGTTACAAATTGTGGAACCTACAGAGAGAGTAGTTTGAGCAAAAGTGGTTCCATACAATACTCTATAACATTTTTTTAGTTTGAAATTAAGCACCAGAAATAAGTTTATTTCTATTTTTAAGGGGTTTGAACAATAGATAACTATTGTTAAAACAAAGTATGTCACACAAAAACAAAGCAAACCCTATGGCTAAAAAGAAAAACATTACTTACTATCTGTGCCTATTATAGAGCTCATTAGTTTTGCCTCTTCTACATAAAAACATTCCCATATCCTTTCTGGTAAAACGTTATTACTATAAAAGCCCCTGAATTTGAGCTAATGATTCATACGTTTGAGCTGAGTGCTTTTAAACGTTACTGCACCTCTACTCTTTACCCGCTAGGGGGCGGTGGTGTCGTCTGGACACAACTGCAGGAGGTTTTATCATCGGTGGAGGACTCCATCAGCTTCAGAAGGACGTGGGCTGCTCCAATCACAGCCTCCGACCAGAACAAGGACACGGAGCACCTGAGAGCTGCTCAGGAGAACTGGACCAAAGCCACACAGGTGATGAACTGCAGGGAAACAGCTCTAACATTTAACCTGACATCAGAGTTGGGTAGTAACTAGTTACAGTTACTCAGTTACATTTAGCTGAGTAAAGTTTTGAAAAAAAATGTGGAGTATTTTTACTCATGTCTCATTTTTAAAGACATTTTGTTTTTACCTTATTTTATAATTACATTATTGATATAAATTATTTTCACTTTGATCTAAAATACCAAAAATGTCCACATAACTGTATTTTGATCCGTCTGATGATGTCATTTTTAAATATTAACTGATTGATGTTTTGATCAGTTAATTGAGTAGCTTTTTTACCAAATACTTTTTTTACTTTTTCTTGAGTACAAATACGTTAAAGTATTGCTACTTTATACATTTCTTGGCTCTCTTTCCACCTCTGGTTGAAATATTTGTTGTTACAGCCGTGAAATAAACAAACACCAGTGAGTTTTGTAAATATATTCCGCTGGTTGCAGATGCTGGAGGAAATAGAGAGAGATTTTGGGATTTCATGTTCTGTGGGAATGCCGAAGGAGCAGCACCTGGACGACTTCTTGGATCTGGAAAAACACGAGTCTGTTCTCAGGAACAACATGCCGAGTCACAATGATGAGCTGCAGAGAGCTCCAAGTAACATTTTCTCACTGGAAGACGAGAAAAACAAGGTGGGGAAAATGTTTTTGTCTTGTTTCTTTCCTTTAACTCTACAGTTTTTAGAATCAACTAAGGTGGGGGTTTTTTAGGTGCTCCACCTGGCTGGTCTCCACAAGGCCTGGAGGTCTGACAGGTTTTCTCCTTCATACCGGCCTCCTTCAGGAGCTCTCAGTCCCGACCGACCGCCTCCTTCCTACCCTGGTTCACCTTTACTCCACAGAAGGACGTCCAGAGCTGCGACTCCTCTGTCTTTGGGTGGGGACGGGACTCCGCTGGGCTGCGTGACCCCGAGCAGTCCCTGCCCCAGCCCCGTCAGCCTGGAGTCAGAGACCGACAGACTGAACAGGTGAGACTAAGACTTACCAGAAACAAGCCAGAGCAAAACGCTGAACAGCAGCTGTAAACTGAGACTGAAATACAGCTTGGTTGGTCTTGTAGAAACATGTGAACATGTGTTTCACAGATAGAAGTTTGATTGTTGCACTGAGAGAAGCTTTTCCAACATGTCTTTCACATATTGTGACCTTAGACACATTCAATTTTTCCCAGATATTTAAAATGTGAAGATTTTTCTATATGTAAAAGAAACTGGAACAGACATTTTTTATATTTGCGGAAAGCAGTGAATGAAGGTTTAAAAGGAATATTTTATGCTAATTTAAAATTTTGCATGTTTTTTTTACTTCCCTTTGAGTTTTTACTGCTTCTTCTCTGCTTTAACCTCCCAAAATCCTGAGGTGCATCACTTAGTTGTTAATATTGTTCTAGTTTTGCTGATACTAATATGTTAAAGCATCACTATCATCACTAATACCAATATTAATGCCTATATATCATCCATACCCAGTTAAAAGCTTTAAATCCTGTTGTCTCAGATGCATTGAGAGGCTGAAGGCCAGAAACGAGCGTCTGACTGTGGCTCTGGAGCGAAGGAAGGTGGATTCGGAGCAGATCAGTCTAAAACTGTGTCGACTGGAGTCTGACTGCTCTGCCCTGCAGATGGCTCTTAGATACAGGTATTTATCATCCACACCTGACACATTAACATTTAAACTTATATTAAATGTTATATTTAATATAAATGTTATATTCTGAGTAGAGGTTCTGTCCTGTGTTTGTTGTCCGACAGTGAGGAGTGTGAGGAGGCCTATGGGGAGCTGCTGTTTCTTTATGAAGCCAAGCTGCAGCAATGCCCCCCTCTGCAGATACACTCAGCAGGTGACCATCAAGTTTTGTGCAAAAAAACAAACTTTGATCCTGAATCACGCATTTTCCTCCAACCAGAGCCAGTGTGTGACATGCAGCAATCAGCTCAGAACCCGGAGATGGGAACTGAGGAGTTATCCACCTCTTTCTGCACAGCTGGAGTCACAGAGGAAACCCAGAGTCACACGAGGCACAGGTGACGTTTGTCAGGATCCAGAAAAAAAATATATATTTTATATATATATATATATATATATATATATATATATATATATATATATATATATATATATTAACAAGTCGAAGTCTGTTAACACCACAGAACTCCAGATCCAGCAGACCGGGAAGCAATTCTCCGACAACAAATCGAGCGACTGAAAAGGGAAAGGGCAGCCATTTGCCCAGCAAAGCCAGGTCCAGGAGCCGAGGTCAGACTGAGCTCAGAAACCGGTCAAGCGGTTGGTACCAGATGGGGCCACATGATGAAGGACAACAGCAAACCTCCTGAGAGCAAGAGGGAGAAAGCATCGCTGTTTTATGAGCTGATCTCAGTCAGGGTAGGAGATTTCTTTTTGTTTTTGTTTTTTCAACAAAAGTCAGTTTTCTTCATTAGCTGCAGACATATACAAAACAAATTTCCTACACAACACAGAACAAATTTGGCTTTAGTTTCAAAACCCAGTGCTAAGTTTTAAAGGGGACCTATCATGCTAAATTCACATTTTGAATGTTTTTATTGTTCTATTCTCTCTACTTCTTCTAAAAATAGCCCAAGTGCTTAATAAAAACACCCAGCCATCTGTTGGCAATAAGTTAATGTGTTTGGAAAAATTGGTCATTTCAAAAACCTTCTCAATGAAACATCACAAACCAGCAAGCACAACCCATTACCTATAGAAACCCCAGAACCCAAGCAGAGCTCCAGTTTGGTCAGCTGGTTTTACCGCTGTATGTGCTGTACAATGGCTGCTGGAAAAGACAACTGTTTTGTAATGTCTTACCATCCAGAAACCACTTGCTGCATTCTTGTTGGTTGTGCAGGAGGCTCTACTTCTGTTTTTCAAAGATTTACGGTACTATAGTTGGGAATTACGTTGAGTTCAGTCACATTTACATAGCTTGTGTCAACCTTCTAGTGACAATATTCTTCTAATGTGACTGTATTATAGTCCAACTGTCAAATACAGTCCATTTTATTAAAATTTGAAAATTAAAAAGAACTTCCCCAAAGACAGAACTCAAACTTGCAAATGAAGACTTTTCTGAGCATTTTGATTCCAACATGACTGTAGTGTGTCGAAAACAAAGTGAACATTGCTGGTAAAAACTCTTTATTAGCACCTCTGACAATTTGATTGTCTTTCAGTGTAGATAAATACATTGTTTAAGCTGTTATTACTAATAATTGTTAGCAGCAGACTTTCCACAGCAACACATTTAACTGAGGTATAATTCCAATATTTGTGCTCCAACTTTCAAGGCAAAACGAACCCATTATATTTATCCAATTCTATTATTTTCTCTTAATAGGTTTGTTAAAATTCCTATTAAGAGATTCCAAAGTCCAAATTGGAAAAAAATCAACAAAATTCACCTGGAAACAAGTATTCTGACTTGGACATCCAATGATCTCTAGAGTCCAAATTTTAAAATAAATGAGACTTTTTAGCAACAGCTAACAGTTTGTATTTTATTAAAAACACAGAATGAACAGAACTGTAAACCCTCTTTTTGTTTGCTCAGTGGTTAAATGTAAACACTGGTGAGATATAAGCTGTTGTCAGCCTGTTTTGTGTCATTTTTAGCAGCCTACTTAGCACAAAAATACACAAATTGATCAAAACAGTAACAAAAAGCTGTGAAAAGCTCATTTACTGCCGCAGCTTAACAACATTTTTAACATTTTTAAAAATGAACACATTTACAAGTAGCAGTCCATCTAATCTTTTAAATATTTCCCTGATTACTAAAGAGCAAAAATTAGAAAAAGGAAAAAAATCTGGTCTGCAGCCTGATTGTTGTGAAAATATGTTCAGTTTCAGGGCTCTAAATATTTCACCAGCCAGCAGTTTTTATTACATATTCAACACTAAAACACTTTTACAAGAGCACTTTTGCAATAAGACCAAGTTTAATGAATACTAAAAGACAGGAATCCTAGTATTAACTATATTTAACTATATTTTTTGGTTCCTCACAACCAATTGAAACACTTATATTTATAAACTAAATGGAGCTGCAAGCAGTCATAAAAGCTAAAAATTACCTTTCTACTACTGTCCAAGTCAAAAATAACATTCGGTTTTTACTTTCTGGCTTCCTTTAACTATGAAAGTTTTTAGTTGTGCCACTTAACACAAACTATGCTGCTATGAATTGTCCTTGTTTATCATAGATTGTGGTATTTTTGTCCAGGAGGAGATGTCAGATCTTCGAGCTTTAATCCGTCTGAAGGAGAAGGAGCTGCGATGTCTTGAATGGGGCTTAATGGGACAGAAGTCTCAGGAAGCAGCTGGAGTTTTCATTCCAGAAAACCTCAGAGACGAGGCGGAAGATCGGAAGACCGAACAGGTATGAAGCACTCCAACTGCAGCAAAGATGACTTAATTTAAAAAAAAAAAAAAAAGAGCAAATAATACAAAGTCAAGGTGAAAGGACCGAGAGGGAGTAGGACCCACGCTCATGAGAGAGATCCGATTCAAATCCGGCTCTCCCACCTGGGAAATCACGTCTTCCAAAGCAGGATCCCTCCAGGCCGAGTCAGATATTTTAGTTCCTCAAGGTCTTCTGCTCGGCCGTCCTGTTCCTGCAGCAAGAAGTCATGCCGCACCTCTCACCTCAGTCTGTCAGAAGACAGAAAAAAAAACTGCTTGAGTGACTGACATTGAGGACAAGTTCTGAGTTTGATACAGCAACTCAGGAAAGAATTCACAGAATGTTTCAGCTTTATTACAAATTATGTTAAATTATCCATTTAATGGAAATTTTACACACAAATATATTTGGATGGATGGATGGATGGATGGATGGATGGATGGATGGATGGATGGATGGATGGATTGATCCAACGGATTTTGGAACCAGATTTCTGAAATGACTTGTTGCCAAGGAAACCTTCTGAATTGTTATTTCTGGTGTTTTTAGTCGTTCTTTCTGCTCATTATCATGTTTATGTTTCAGAGGTTTGGTGAAAACGCTGCCAAACCTGTTAATGACGGTGAAATCACGAGTTCTCTGACCCGACCCATTCTGAAAGAGCTGCAGGCTGTCCTACAGAGGTGAGAACGGACCTCTGTATGTCAGAGTTTAATGGTTTCCTTTTATATTTCTGTTATATAGATAATAAAATGTACTTTTTGAAATCTGACTGCCACTTTGATTTCGATTTGTTTAATGACAGTAGGACTCTAAAGTTTCAAGTGTTTAGGGGGTAGGAGTTTATAAGTTCTCACTTCTTCCTACCCCATTTTGAGCATATGTTATTAACTGAAACAAAAAATCTGTATTTTCTCTTCTTTTTTATGCACTTCTTGTTACTGTGCACTATTTTATTTTTATATTTGTATCATGTTCGAATAAAATTTCATTTCATTTCAATTTCATTTCATTTCATTTCATTTCATTTCAAATCTAAACCAAGAAATCCTTTCTATTCTATTTGGAGATGAGAAGCTAGAGTATAAAAATAAAGTCAAATTTCAAGAGGGAATCTGAAACCAAAATATCAACCTTATGAAGTTGGTATTGATCCGATACTGATACAGACATGGTATTGATATTATCAATACATTTGATCAACTGGCCTATTTTTACTTAGTGAGATGTTTAAAGCTTAACCCTTGCTTCTCCACATCTATAATCTTCCTTTGTGTTTCTGTCTGATTGAACAAAACCAGTAGTCCATCGGTGTCCAAAGTGCGGCCCAGGGGCCATTTGCGGCACCTAAACTGATTTTTTGCTGCTCCTATGATACAAATTTGTCCACCACGTAGCTGACTGCATGCAGACTTTTTTTCAATTAGGTCAAAACTATTACCCACAAATTAAAATTTTCTCACAAAAATTTTAGAAAAAACAACGTATTTATCTTTTAATAACTACAGTTTTGATATCAAACCACAACTATCCACATAGACACCAACAAAGACTTTGGTACACCCAAATCTACTTTTAATTACATTCTTGAAAGTTTTTCAAATAAAAGCCTAAATCATGTTTTTCTATTGCTGCGAATAAACTCAATCTTTTTTTTAGTTTTCTTCTGTCAACCCCACACTAAATTAGTAAAGTGGTTGCCTTTCTTTCAATAACGGATACATGCAAAATCATGTTTTAAAATTTTGGATCTAAAATAATTTACATATTCCTTTACTACAAAAAAATCTATGTTCTTTGTTTAATTAAAATATTTCTGCTTAGTTTGTTGTTGACCAGCAAAAAACGGTTCTCAATAAAATGTTTTGTGAATTTAGTTTTCTAAGAGTGATAATTTTGGCCTGTTACAAAAAATCTGGACACTCCTGCAGTAGACTTCTAAAGGCCACTAGTTTAGTGCTAAAAACTAATTCACACCACACTTTTCAGCTTCTTGTTTGAAAACAAATATGGAAACCTCGTAATATTTTTCCTCCACTTGGAGATTATTCACCGCCTTGTTTGGTCTTTCACATGAAATCCCAATAAAATACACCGAAGCAAAGTCTCTCCAAAGCACCATTTTTATTGTTTGAGGAAACTATTGTTTGGAGTGATGCTCCCAGAATGAAAAAGGTGACATGCGGTGATGCTGGGTTTTGTTCTGTTGCTAGGTAACAGACTTTAACATAAAGCATTCTGCAGAGACCTTCCTCTTTCTCTTCTAACCTTGAGAGATAAACACTTTATTTTAAATTACACTCCTTGTCAGGCCAAGGATGAAGTAAAGAAAATAACTCTTTTCTTAACTATTGTATTATTGCTGTGAGCAGACATCTTTTGTTAACTGAGTTACCTTCTGATCCACTTGTTTTGTTTATCTGCCAGGGAACAAGCCCTGAAGAGGAGGCTGGCCATGGTCCACGACTCGCTGAACTCGGCTCTCGCAGACGGCGCCCCCCACAGGAAGGACAACGCAGAGCAGATCGCTCGACTCACACAGGCGCACAGGTAAATATCGGCAGCACACACACTGCTTCAGTGCCCACTTTAAGCAAACTGCTTACTGACTATCACTGTTACTCCCAAACGTTACAGGCTGGGATGGTGGAATAATTCAGCAAATGATTGGATATAAATGAATTTGATGTGATAATTCTCTGTCTTTTTCACAACGCATTGCAAGACTATAACTTAAATTTAAGTCCAAACTCAACTTCCTGTATCATAAGAGATCATCAGAGGTGGGCAGAGTAAACAAAAATTATACTCAAGTAAAAGTAGCAGTACTTCAACATATTTTTACTCAGGTAAAAGTAAAAAACATCCATCCAAGAAATTACTCAAGTAAGAGTAAAAAAGCAACCAAATTATCAATCACTTAATATTTAAAAATTACATAATCAGATGGAACAAAATATGAAGTTATCAGTTTCTTTCTAGAAAAAACTTATGAAGCTTTAACATAAACTGCAGGTGTCTGCCTGTGTCTGGTGAAAGTTTGGTTTGGTTTCAGACATTTTACTCAGGTAAGAGTAGAGATACTTTATTTTAAAATTACTCAAGTCAAGGTAAAAGTGCAGCGTAGTAAACAGTAAATGTAATTGAGTAAATGTAACTCGTAACTACCCGACGCTATTAGTTCTGCTAGGAAAACACTTGTATCGATGATCACTATGCCAAAGTTTGATAATTATTATACGTTTTATAACCTTTTCTTACACCTCACTGCAGTTTGTGTTTTTCTCGTAATTGGTCGTCTTTAATTAATCAAAGCCATCTCTGTGACGATCTGTGTTTTTGTGTATTTATTTCTTGTTTTTTTCTGTGTCCTTGTTTCCCCATGAGTCTCGGTGATGTCCTGTCCTCCCTGTTGATTGATCCCAGCTGTGTCTAGTTTTTCCTGATTACCCTCCCTGTGTATTTAAACCCACCTGTTGTCTCTTGTCGGGTCCTCGTCTACTCTTACGTTCTCTGCTCTCCAGTTGAACTGTATAGACCTGGTTAGCGTTAGCTCTCGTTTTCAGTCCTCTTTGTATCAGTAGCTACCGGTAATTAGCTGTGTGCTAAACTCTCTGCCGTGCCGCCTGTGTTGAACTGTTTTTGAACGTTCATCCTCACCACCTCTCATTCACCTAATCACGACAATCTCACTGGTATACGGTTGTTTATAAGTGTCACTACTCGTTCCGATCAATATATTTTTGCGCAATGTTCCAGAAATCAAATCAAATCAAAGTCCTTTGTTGCACTATACTGCTGCAAAGGATTGGAGAGAGGTTTAATATTGTGTACTTTCATATCACTGGTAATTTTAAATAACCTGAATTTTACTAGTTAATTTGTTTTAAGGGTGTCTCAGTTTAAGAATGAGAATGTTTTAATGAGGTAACAGTATTACCTAACCCTACTGGGTGTTATTTTATACTTTTAGTGTTGTTGACTGTTCAAGACATAAGGGTTAAATGTATGTGATTATTGACAGTGAAACTACATACTATTGTCGTTTCCCCTCCCTATGTGTTGCCCTTCCCTATCAGGTTGTTACTACAAATACGAATTACCTAAAGGTTGAATGACATGAATGAACTAATCCATATTTTGATGGTTTTATTCCAGTAAAGCTCTGAGTTCCTACAGGCAGATTCGCAGGAAGTATCGGGAGCAGGTGTGGCGGCTGGAGCAGAAGGTTGCAGCCATGATGGAGAGTCAACACAGCCAGAGCGAAGCAGCCAAAGCTGCAGAGGAAGGAGCAGAGTGGAGGAAGGAAGAGACGATTTTATAAAACAAAGGTAGATCCGTCACAGCTAGAAGCTGTCCACATCAGCCTCATGTGCAAATCTGATGTATAAATTATGTTTTTTTAAAACAATTATTCTTATATTCTGCATATGTAAATAGTTGTGGCACTTTTATTATTACTGGCAAAACTACAGGAAGTCAACATTCAAATAAATTAATCATTTATTGCAAATATTTATTATAAATCAGGGGAGTTAAACTCACTTGTCTCTAATGAGCCATTTCTGTGGTGATTTTCCAACCATCCTGCTAAAAGGACCCAATCACAACCAATTTTTCGTTTGAAGTCTACGAGATTTTAATTTGAAAACTTCAGGCCTAGCCATTTGGTAGAGAAACTGTCCCACAGCATGATGATGCTTCACATTATATGCAATATTTTTCTGCATAATACCGGTTTCAAATGATTAGAAACTCCACATGTTTATGTTCAAGATGGTAGGACAGAAAAGGCTTTCAATTGGCATCAGAATCATAGATATTGGTCAAAATGTTTTCCACTAACTAATTTGATTCTGGTTTCAAGTGCTCACAGTTTGCAAACATTAAGTTTAAATATGTATGCTTTAATAAAGAATAAAATAAACTCTATTCATATGTATATGTATGTACACTATATATTATACATAAAGAAAATAAAAAAGATTGTTGTACAGTGCAAGAATGATTATTTTGTGTCACATCTAATCTAAGTACAAGTCTGTATTTAGTGGAAACTGCAGCCTATTATAGAGCATATCTGTAAATACCTGAATCCTAACACGTGTGAGCGTGTGCTAAACTGCTTAATTATCGCACAGATACTTTTACATTGCTATTACCCGACCTGAAGAATAACGTATATCAAAAGTTAACTGAATGGCATCTTTTCTTGACTTTCCTATTTTGAAGAGTGTCTTAGAAAACTGAGTTTCTCTTTAAAATCATATAAATATCCCAAAAGAGAGACTTAGTCACTTAATTCAATGTAAAAAAGTAAAATTTACTTGAACAACAAAGTCCTGGTATTGATGATTTTGATTCATTCATTTAAGAAACTTTTACTTGAAATGTAGTCAAATAATTATGCTCCTTCAATAAAAGGAGAATTTAGCTTTTTTTAAAAATCTTTTCTAACCAGTAGCAGTTGTACCATCTGTCTTTTAGAGCCTATGTAGAAAATTAAACAGCAGCACAACAAAGGGAGATGACCGTTTGAAATGGCAAAACTCAAACATAAGACACAATCCTCTTTTTAAATAAAACTGTCATGCAGTTTAAATAAAGAATGAACCGTCAGATGATTTGAGGTAGGTGACAGCGGACATGTTCGTTTTCCCATAAAAACCTTCCTTCCAACGGCGCCAGGGGGTGGGGCCCGCAACAATGGCTGATCTTCACACGAAATGTTACGCCAAGCCCATTTGTCTTCTTTGCACCTCCGTGGTCTCACGTTCTTTGCCTTTCACGCTTGACAGTTCAGTTAAAAGGTCAACTCAACCAAACTGCAAAAAAAATATGAGAAAAAACTTTTTCCCTCTATAGATTACAGTTAAACATTTACTGGTGTGCAAAGAAAAAATGTAAAGTAATAAAAAAAATAAAATAAAAGGTAAATCCATGACCTTTAGTATTTCAGACAGAATTATAAATAAATGTGAACATATGTTGCTTTCTTTAGATTCAACCAATTGACTGAATTTCTCTAATCTTTTGCAAGTGAAGCACATCTTCCTCTCTTCTATCAACTTCTCTTTGCCTCTCACTCAATTGTCCATTTTCCAGTGTTTTTTCTCAATTTCCTGCTCCTCCATATTCTCCCAGCTCATCTCTCACCCATCAATCCCCCCCTTGGTCGACCCTGCACCCTGACCTTCGCGCTGCAGCTGTGACCGGCGGTCAGGAGGTTAAGGCAAAGGTTGAGTGTCACACCCACAGGGTCACAGCGATGCTTGGCTGTTGTGTCAGCCACTGAATTGAAGCTTCGGAGTGGCAGACGAGGCGGCGGGGCCTCTGACGCCCCGACTGTTGCCTGAGCTTGCCCTTTCCTGAGCGGAGGTCACCGCAGAGGGCCTTTCCTCCCTCTCATCCCATACCTCCAGGTCACCAATGCTATTGTTGTAATAGCTGCCATTAGAGCGCATGATGCAATTATCATTCAGTTTTATGTTGCCACTCTCCAAGATCTATGTTAAGCTCTTTAGTTCATCAAAGGTTGGTGGAAAACATGGCTGCTGTAACCTCTGGGTGACTCTCGAGTCAAAGGCGAAACAATAACGACAAAAATGGCCCTTTGACAGAAACATTTTACAAGTGAAGGAAACCTGAAGCATCATCACCTAAGAGGTGCAAGGAAAATTTTTCAATCAACCCAAATAATTAGGTTATTATAAAAATATATTTTTAAAATTAAAAACATGTTTTCTGTTTTATAAGATCATGGAAGGATTATTTATATGAAAGCCTGAGATACTAAATAATCTTAAAAGTTTATAAACTTCATTTTTTTACTTAAAGTATTGTACAAAGGTATTTGTAGCTTTCCACTTTTTGTCATGTTCATGACATCCTTAAACTTCAGTATATTGTTTAAATTTTATGAGATCAAAACAAGAACAGGGTATAAATGTATATTATGTATTGACTCCTCGACAGAAACACTCTGGTTTACTATATTTATTTTAACAAGAGAGAAAATCAAGTTGGTGGTTATTGTCAGTAAGGCAGCTTCTGCCCCACAGTTACCGACGGCAACAGAAACAGGGGGAGGAGCTGTTAGTTGCTGGTTGCTCTGGTAACCACCAACTGCCAAGAGCAGCAGAACAGAACTTAAAACACCAACTGGAGAAACAACTTCTTGAACAAACAAAATAAGAATATACAAACAAATTTTGACAAACTTCACATCTATAATGTTGTTAAAATAAAACCCTGCCACATATAAGAGAGAGTTTAAAAAATTAAATGATTTTTTTTTTAAATAAAAACCTGAAATGTGCACATATCTTTGGCAATGTTCATCTTCCCAAAATGTCTCCAGCACAAAACAGCTGCCTTTAGATGTCGCCTAATTTGAGTTCATTAATTGAAAGAAAAAAAAAAAGTTGGTTAGAGAGCATTAAGAAAACACAGCATCATGAAGACCAAGCAACAGAGCAGGCACATCAGGGATGATAACAGTTGAAGAGCGCCTATGATGAAAAAATGTCAACTCTCTTTTGTCTAAAACATGTTTAAATCAACATGTGACATGTTCATTTTAAACTGCAAACAAAAGAAAATAAATAAATAATGGACTTCAGTTGAAAATATTTTTATTTTTATTTGTAATAACTACACTTTACTTTCTGTCACAGTCTTGTGCATTATATTATTATTATTACTATTATTATCATCATCACCGGTATTATGTTGTTGTTATTGCTAATCTTGTTTTTTATATATTGTTTCCAACACTTTAAGGTTTTCTTATGTCAACCTTTAAACCTGTTGCTGCTGTCACACCTGAATTTTCCCCTTTGACAATAAAAGCTCTTCCTATTCTATGCTAGTTCAGCATAAAAAGTTTACTTTTTGTAATTTATTTTTAAAGCCAGCAGACAGGAATCACAGTGCATTCCTAAATCATGAGAAAAAGAATGAAATAATTTCAGCCTCAATTTGAATTTCTCCTTGAAGGTTTGCCCTCACTGGGTTGCAGTTGAGACATTTAAAAATAAGTTTCTTTTTATTTAAACTTTGTGGTGTTTTGTAAAGACTCATGAAGACTGAAACACATTGGTCCAACAATAAAGTTGTTTGCAAGTCTTCATTTTAACAAACAGACATCTATAAGAATCTGCCGTTTTCTTTTGAGCTCCATATTTCAGGATATTTTTCGCTCCTCCCTCACAGCACAGCAGAGTTTTATAAAGCCTGGGAAAAATACCCACACCATTATTAGATAACGGCAGTGGCTGTCAATCAGTGTGGGGGTGGACGCCTGCAGACACGAACACACAGAGGAGGAGGAGGCGAGTCGAAGGGGGCGACCTTTGGGTTTCAGGTCAACTCATTTGCTCTCTGCATTTATCCCTTATTTTAATAAGTCGTCCCGCGGTAAGCTGTATCAAGAGATCACCGTCTGAAAGCGTCCTCTCTCCAAGCCATTAGCTCACCTGTCACAGCCACTCTATATCCCCGCTCATCCCCTCCTCTGCTCTTTATCCATCCACTCTGCGCTGCCGCCATGACCCGATCGCCCTGCTCTCTGGAGCTTTCCGACACAAGTCAACCCAAGCAGAGGTCAGGAGGGTGGAGAGGGGTGCAAGAGGCACGAAAACAAAAAAAGCACACACGCACACACCAAAAAAAAAAAGGCTTTGACCTCAATCAAATGGCCGGGCACATCCGCTTTGTGCTCTCGCCCACTCAGATAATGAGAGCAAACAGCTCAGGCCGGCGGACACGGGGAGCGGAGGATAAAGAGTAAAACCATGTTGCATGTAAGGTGATTTCCATGCTTGCTGCAGGATAGTATGTATGCGTGACATTTGACTGAGAAAGTTGCTTGATGATCAAAAATCATTAGCTTGATGAAAGATTGAGAGAGAGGGAGGAAAAAAAGCATTTTTTAATCTAGAAAAGTGACAATCAGCAAGGCAGCTCGGCAACAAGCCAACACAGATGCTTAAAAAATGTGTATACTGGGAATAAAATTGTTTTTGACATTAGATCATGTTTCAATATTAGATTAAATAAAGTCGTGAGAGGGTTGGAACTCGCTTTACATCCAGGATCAGGGACAAAACACTCACTCTGTTTAAAATCCTCTAGGAGTTTAAGGGGAAATTAGATTAAAATATTGGTCAAAATAAAAAAAAGGGAAATTAAATGAGAAAATCCGCCACAGAGCATAATACTGCCACCACCATGCTTCACTGTGAGGATGGTGTGTTTAGGATGGTAGTTTTCCAGAAACACCAGAATTTTTCATGTAAAATATTTTATTTTAAACTGTAAACGGTACGTTCCATTGCTTTCTTTCAACAGTGGTTTGCATTGAACCTCTTACATTAAGGAAGGACCGGTCCAACCCTTTTTGGGGTTCTAAGCAGATTTTCATTTGGAGTCCCCCAAAACCAGCTTCCCTGTGAGTGAAACATCTCTGCTGTCTTTAGCGTTGTTTGTAATTAGCTTACATCACACCGGTGTTGTTATGGCTGTTATTAAGCTCAAAGGAGGAGCAAAATAAAATTGGATTTTGAAATACAAAGTGGTATTTAAGTGTGCCATTTTATTTCAACTATTTGAACATAACATCAGCTGGAAAAACCCTAAATTTACAGTAAACAAGTTAACAAGTGAGAAACATTGCCCATCAGGGATGTCATTTTACCCAGAGTTCTTCTGTCTTTAACCACCTGTACTGGGTTGGCGGGAATCCCAACCCAGAGCTGGACTTTCTGATTAACTTACCTAAGCGCTTCCTTTCAGCTGCTTATCTGCTCTACTGCAGCTTATCTCCAACAGAAAACACCAACAAAAAAGATGGCCGATGCCTTCCGAAGCGTCCAAATATCTCCTCAGCAGGTCGAGTCTGCTCTGACCTTTCCTGTAAAGAGAATTCAGTGACGAGTTCAGTCCAGTTTACTGTTCGTTCATCTGAACCCCCAGCACAGGTGGTAGAATACCCAGAAATTGTACTCAAGTAAAAAGTAGCCATCCAAAAAATTAGTCAAGGGTAAACAAGTATATGGTAAAATGTCTACTGAAGTACTGAGTAACTGATCAAAACAACATTTAAGATTTAAAAATTATATAAGCAGGCAAAGCAAAGTATAAATTTATGTGGAAATTTTGGTATTTTAAGGACCAAAATGAAAATAATTAATATAAGCAACATAATTACAAACAGCTAAATCAGACAAAAGAAACATTTTTCCAAACTTTAACAAAAACAGCAGGTATGTGTACAGCTGGTGAATTTTTGGTGGGCAAAGTATCAAGAAATTTTACTCAAGTTAGAGTAGCAATACTTTATAATAAAGTTACTCAAGTAAAAGTACAGAGCACAATGCAGTATAAAAACTCCTAGAAGCTTTTTATTTTTTCAAAAAGTGAATGTAATTGAATAAATGTTTATTATTATTAGATTATTTCAGACTTTGCAGAAACAAAACAAGCAAATGGAAGTACAATGAAGCAGGATCAACTAAATATATAACATAAATTAATAAACCACCTGCCCGTTATTCATCAGTTCCTTATCTGAAAAGGACAAACTTTTATAAAATCCAGCCCCTTTTTCCCTTTTAACTTCTTTCATCTACTCAAACAGTTAAAACAATAACAATTAACAACCAATGAATTAAATAACAGTAGTGATTCTATTTAACATTCAATTCAAGTCCTCATTCCTATGCTAATCAAAAACCAACCTTTTATACATTATTTTCAACAGTTTTAAGTTGGGTAATATCTTAAACAAGTTCCTAGTAACTTCCCAACTCTGACGCCCAGATAATAATAATAACAGATTACCTCATTCTTTGCATAATGTGTTCTCAGTGGTTTTACACCGTTTGACCTAAAGTCAAACGTTGCTGACGTTAAACAACCTCCTGAGCGGGTTCTCCTGTGATAACAAAGCCACACTTCTGTTTGCAGTTTAGGGAGATAAACTTACAGAAGATCCCAACAACCGTAGAGAGGAAAACCTAACGAGGTCACTCATGTCAGCATGAGAGCAGTAGATTACAGATAGGAGGTGTTCAGTACGGCAGGAGGAGGGACCTCGACCTAATTCTGTTAAAGCATTTGAGTCTTGTTCACTGAGCTGATTAGGTTAATTTTCTGTCATCCTAAGCACCTTATGTGACCTAGAGGCAATGTCTGGTGTAACAAAGGCCACACACTGGGAGCAACAGATTGCATGCAGATTTACAGGAGAGAAGAGAGAGGCTGATTAGGAACAGAGGGAAACTGTTTGGGCGGTGCAGACAGTTAAGTCCTTGTCTGAAAATGTCAGTGGGAGAAAGGTTTACCTTCAACAGGAAACACTGGAAACTTGTGATCAGTAACTGTTTCAAAGACTCTGATGAACAAGCCAGCTAATTACTTTCTAAGTAGCGCTTTTTTTGGAACATAAATCTCTTTGACTTTCAGTGAAACTGACCCATGCAATCAGAGTTTTATTTTTAAATTCGTTTCCATATGTTTTGTTGAGTGAATGACAGTTTTGAAGGTAACGGGTGACATAAAGATGATATATTGTTTGAGGAGTTACATCATGACATGAACACAAAGTCTAAAATGAGAGCTGCCCCCATGCAATAGCACACAAACATGAAAATAAAAAAACTTAAATCAGTCCAATCACACTGAGTCTTCGATATTCTGAGCTTAACTGTAATGTGTCAGCAATGGAAGAAAGAAGCAAGAATAGATGAACGCACATCTATTCTTAAAACCTTGCATAAACTACAACCAAGATGACAGAAATACAAATACTCTTTACTGTCCTTTTGTGGAGAAAATTTGGTCCGTACAAAAGTCCAGGAAGAGGTGAAAATACAAATAGATGGGGCTCCACTGTAATCTTAGTTCCAAAAGTTAAGATGAATGCAAAAACTTTGTTAATAAATGGGAATCTATTTATCCTTTTAAACAATTACCCTAAAAGTGGAAACATGTCCATCTGTATCAACCAACTATGTTTGCCGGACAGATTTGTTGAGGTTGGGGGACCGCCCAAAGCCATCCAGAGGGCCACGAATAGCCCACAAACCACACTTTGGATACCACTGACTGAGGGGTATCAGAGAGAATGAGTCTGAGGACATTCGTGCTACACTTTCCATTTTTCTTTATTTGTAATAAAAAACAGAAAACCATTTTCCCTCCATCTAACAGTACTGTATGTTGGTCTAGCTTGTAAATCCTAATAAAACACCCTTCAATTTGTATTTGTGGGCATAATATGATAAAATGTTTAATAAATTCAGGGACGTGAATACCTTTACAGCTATTTTCAATCTCATCAGCACAGCAGAGACATCCAGGAAAAGTTCTGCTGCTTCAGTAAACAACTCAATCGACTCCTCAGCAAACAGCGGAGACAAGATATCTGATTTGAATGACAACGGAAAGGGAAGTTTCCCACCAACGTCCTGCGGGTTTGAGTATTAGAGAAGGGCAAATATTGATTGGACATTGCGTGTTGCTGTGGAGTCACCCCAGCAGATGTTTTTCCTTGCCTAGTTCCACCGCCTTGTTTATTTTAGATTGCTCTGCCATTCGCTGGAGGTCAAAGGGCCCGAGGATGTGCCGGGTGTTGTGAGGGGGAAGAGAGAGGAGAGATGATTTTTCCTCTGGCCTTGGGGTTAAAGGGCATGGGGGCTAATG